ATAGATCATCCTGAATTGAGTATATTTGTGGGTGCATATGTGTAGTTATTTATACAGCTGTCTCTGGTGGTCAGTTGTTGATTAAGCATCTTTTGGTACCTTTCCAACTCTCACTTTCTACTTCTCTTTGTGGATATTTCAACCCCTGTTTCTTTCCAGCTCCCAAATCTTGATATTGGAGTCAGTCTTCACTCGTGACTCTACAGTCAAATGTATCTACCTTCATTCGGGTTTAAGATTTAGTCTCCTGGGAACCTTCACCCAAATAAACTCAATGTCTTTCCCTCCCTAACTTTTTCCCTCTTCTGTGTTGCTCACCTCAGTGAGTATACCTGCCCAGGTCAGAAACCTGGGAGTCTTTCCTGAATCCCGCTTCACATCCTTCCTTCCCACAACCATCTCATGTTAGAATCTTGTCCAGGTGGTACATTGCATATTCTCCTATCTGTCCTCTTCCCTCTTTGTCCCTGCCACATCTTGGGCTCACCCAGTTTGGACTAGCTGTTTTTAGCTATTTTGTTGTTGCCACAGTAAGTATCTTATGTTAGATTTCACTTTGTGAGCAGCTTTGCGTGCCATCCAGGATGTGCAGCTCTCTGTGATATTTTCACATTTAGTGTGCTTTCATTTAGATGACATTTTAAAAATCTAAGCAATTGTGTATCACCTGAATGGCTGCCTTAGAAGTGAGTGCTGACAATTGATTTCCGTGCCTGCCCAGGCATTTGTGTTTTAATGGTACCAACAAGGCATTACTATAATTATCAATAGCCTACCCCAAAAAAGAGGGCAGAGGGATTTTGTCTTCCAATACGAGGCATTCATTTGGGACTTATAAAGTTCAACGAAGTCACTGTCTTTTGTTATTTTAACAAAGGTTTTACCTTAGTTTAAATACGTGAAACCATGCCCCCAAAGGTATAAGTTGCTGAATTCAAAAAAACCTGTACTGGGACAGTGAGTCCGATGTTAGGGGTGGAAATCTGTTTCCACATCATTGGTATCATCGGTCACATTGAATATCATTGATTTGAGTGTTGTTGTTTTTGTTAGTTTAAGTTTAATGTATAGATGTTTATACTTGCATAAGAGCTGTAGACGTAAGATGCTCACACATAGTTTTAGTTTTGTACAAATCTAAATAGTAATATGCTAAAGCTATCCAAATGCTACTTCAGGTCTATGCATACTCTTAAAGAGGGCGGGTTTACCACTCAGGTGGTCTAGAGCAGGGTCAGTGAACTTTTCATGTAAAGGGCTGGATAGTAAATACTTTAGGGATTGGTGGTTGTACAGTTTGTCAAAACTACTTAACTCTCATATGGTAGCAGGAGAGCAGCAACAGATAATATGTGAACAGATGAGTGTCGCTGTGTCCAATAACACATCGTTTACAAAACCAGCAGCCGGCTGATTGGGACTTCCTGTCTCGTGTGCTGACTCCAGGGCTAGAGGGTACGATCCCAGTTCCTTGGCTTGACATACGGTCTGTTTATCTCTCTCGACTCCTCTCTTACCCGCTCTCCTGAACAGTTGCTGTGCTCCAGCCATTATAGAGCTGTTTCATCTCCCACACATGTCAGACTCTCCCGTGATTCCATGCCTTAGCTCATGTGCCCTGACACTTCCTTTCCAATCCTCTTAAACCAACTAACTCCTACTCACCCTTGAAGATGAAACTTAAAATGCGCTTCCTCTCAGAAGATGTCTGTGGCCCCTTCTGGCTGAGTTAATGCTTCTGTCTGCCCCTCTGTGCTTCTTTAAATTCACTCTATGCTCCCATAACATTTTTAAGAAACTCATCTGGATTGTAACTGGGCACTTATTTGACTAATTTTGATGTCTTCTCCTCTAGGCTGAGCTCCCTCTTCTCTGTAGCAAATGCTGTTCCATCCTTATAATTATTATCCCCAGCCTCCAAATTTAGAGGATTGATGGAAAGAACAGACGGAAATGAGTGTGAATGTCACATCAACAGTGTATTTACCCAACAAGACTCAGAAGTATCCGAGTTTTCCTTAAATGGGCAAAGTTAGGTATTCTTCCATCTGTGGAAATGGGGGCTTGTGAGCTTTGTCAGAAGAAATAAAGGGAGTTTTATGTTTGTACATCTGGGTTTCATGACTGTAAAATCAATGCCTGGGATAAAAGTGAACTTTGACAAATGGAGGAAAACAGTTGAAAAATAAAAGACAAGAAGAAAAAGAAGAAAACCTTTAGCGTATGTTTGGGGTGTAGGTAGGTAGACTGAGTTGGAGAAGTAAGTCTGGATTTTTGAGCAGGGGGAAGGTCAGAGGGGGCTGTTTAGGGAAGCAGGCCTGAGAGTGATGGAGGGAATAGGGGGATGGAAGCAGTAAACCCTAGGTAGGGGGAGATTTGGAGAATCAGGCGTCAGCAATATTGGTTCTGTCCCTTTGCCTCTCCTTACTTCTCCCCGCTGCCTTCCTCTCTTTCTGTTTTCTCTAGATGTTTCTACCCTACCTTGTCTTCGGAACAAGCTATAATATGGTACCAAAGTAAATATTGTATTACTTTTTTAAAATTTTATTTTCTCACAGTATGGAGTTTCCTCAAAAAGTTGAAAATAGAGCTACCCTAAGACCCAGCAATTGCACTACCAGGTATTTACCCCAAAGACACAAATGTGATCCGAAGGGGCACCTGCAACCCAATGTTTGTAATAGTGATGTCCACAAGAGCCAAACTATGGAAAGAGCCCAGATGTCCAATGACAGATGAATGGATGAAGAAGATGTGGTATATATACACAATGGAATATTACTCAGCCATCAAAAAGCATGAAATCTTGCCATTTGCAACGACATGGATGGAACTAGAGGGTATTATGCTAAGTGAAATAAGCCAATCAGAGAAAGACAATTATCTTATGATCTCACTCATATGTGGAATATAAGAAACAAAACAGAGGATCATAGGGGAAGAGAGGGAAAAATAAAACAAGAGGAAATCAGAGAGGGAGATAAACCATAAGAGACTCTTAATCATAGGAAACAAACTGAGGGTTGCTGGAGGGGAGGGGAGTGGAGGGTTGGGCATTAAGGAGGGCACGTGATATCACAAGTACTGGGTATTATATAAGACTAATGAATCACTGAACTCTACATCTGAAACTATTAATACATTATATATTAATTAATTGAATTTAAATTAAAAAAATTTAAAAAATTTCTCTGTTTGAAAGTGTTGATATAGGTCAGTTGATCTCCTTTTTCTTAAAATAATAGCAACTCAAGTCACTTAACTTTTAGAAGTTTTAATTTTTTTCTACATTACTTGGTAAGGAAAAAAAGATCTCTACTATGATCACACATTTTAGGAGAAACTCAAATCCTAAAAATACAAAGTTAAGGATAACTCTTTTGTCCTATTTGATAATCTAAATATCTAAATATCTAAATATATATATCTAAAATATAAATATCTAAAAAGAAAAAAGTATATTAAAAATTAAGCCATGGGGTGCCTGGGTGGCTCAGTCGTTAAGCGTCTGCCTTCGGCTCAGGTCATGATCCCAGGGTCCTGGGATCGAGTCCCACATCGGCCTCCCTCCTCGAGGGGAAGCCTGCTTCTCTCTCTCCCACTCCCGCTGCTTGTGTTCCTGCTCTCGCTATCTCTGTCTCTGTCAAATAAATAAATAAAATCTTTAAAAAAAAAATTAAGCCATGAATGACTAGCAGTGAAAATACTATAGGGAAAATAAAGTAATTTTTTCAAAAAAGGGTAATGGGATAAGATCAGGGAGAATGCCTAGGGCTGCCAGGACCAGCACCACCATGCACACAAATATACATAAACAAGATGGTGAAGTAAAGATACTGTGGTTGAATTGCCTAATCAGAAAAATAACTTTGAAATTTGATAAACAAGTTGCAATTTTAAGATTTATGAGTGATCTTAAGACTAGACTAGATTCTTGAGTAGATCTCTGAGGGCCCTTTTCTGTATGTGATTTAGATCTTGCTGTGGAATGTCAGTATTTATATGTGCTTTCACACCAGACACAGGTCACATATACATCACTAAGGAACAGAAGGTAATCAGATCCTCCACGGGAAATGAGATTGGACACATTTTATTGTTAAGATTATTGCTTATGTTTTGAGAAATGTTAACATTTGTCATCTGATCGTTAAATCAAAACTCTTCTGTACTGAGTAGTTCTCATTGATGATGATGTTTGTGATTTTATGCAAACATTATTACATTTTACCAGGTTATATTACTAACAGGGTCCAAATTTCAGATAATATATATTTTTTAAGATTTTACTTATTTGAGAGAGAGAGAGTGAGCATATGAGTGTGTGGGGTGTAGGGGCAGAGGGAGAGGGAGAAGTAGACTCCCCGCTAAGCAGGGACCCCGATGTGGGGCTTGATCCCAGGACCCTGAGATCATGACCTGAGCCAAAGGCAGATGCCTAACTGACTGAGCCACCCAGGTGCCCCTCAGATAATATTTTTTATAAAGAAGACCTGGTGTCTTCCTTTAGTCAACACATGGAGGCCAGTGGTCCTTCACTGGAAGCATCATCATCATCATCCTCACACCTTGTTGTGTTCCAGATGTGTGTAGCAGCTCAGTGCTCATGTAAGATGAGTTCTATGACTTCCCATGTTACAGATGTGCAAGCAGAGACAATCAAGGTAACTCACCCAAGGTCACACAGGTAGGGTAGAGTCGGTTGATGTCCCCTATAGTTTGGCTCATGAGGCTATGGGCTTCACTGCACCCCATGCTTTACTTCTTCTCACGATGCTAATTCCCAAGTATGCCAATTTCCTCTAATCGCTGCAGGATATTCCTTCCCTGTCACTGTCTATTTATGATCTATGTGCACCTTTTGTGAATAAAACCGACAAAGCTTTATCTTATAAATGACCTGTGTTAATGTCTCTTGACATTAAGATGGCTTGTGGGGAAATAGAAATTATATTTTGCAGTCCTTGTCTGGTTTCCTCAGTAATGGATTATGTCTACAGGATATGAATTCAACCTGTGGAAAAGCTGAAAGAATCATCATTAGTAACGGTACAGCTGACATCATACGGCTCCTGATGTGACACATAGAGAAGGACACAACATTGTCTATGTGCAGGTACTGCCAACATGTTTCACCTGAATCTAATCTTGAGGAAACAATCAGGCAAGCACACGTTTAAGGACACCCTGCACAGGAGCTGGCCTGCACTCTTCAAAGGCATCGGAATGACAGAAAGGCTGAGGAGCTCTTGAAGATTGATGGAGACTAAAGAGACAGGTCAATGAAATGCAATGCGTGGACCTCGCCTGGGTTTTGGATCAGGAGGAAAAGCAGCTGTAGAGGACATTGTTGAGACAAACAGGTAATTGTGAATATGGATCGCGTATTAGATGATGTTAAGTCTCCTGACTGTGGTGATTGTGTAAGAGAATGCCATTGCTCTTAGGAGATAGATCTGATGTGTGTGTATAAATACACACATATCCACACATAGAGACAGGTTAATAAAATGTTAACAGTTAGGGAATCTACCTGAATGACAAATTGGTGATTATTGTACTATTCTCAAAACTTTTTGGAGGGTTTGATATGTTGATCAATTTTTTAAAAACTGGATGTAGGAATGGGGAAGTAAGTGGAGATACATATAGATTAAACAAGATTCGCCTCGAGTTGGACACACTGGAAGCTTGGTGTCAAGTACGTTATGTTATTCTACTTTTTCATATGTTTGGAATTTTCCCTAATGCAGAGTTGTGAAAAACAGAAAGATTCAGTCACATTTCATGATGCTGATTCTCAAGAAAGGATGAGGATAAGCTGCCATGAAGATTCTCTACTTTTCTGTAACTTGCCCTCACCCCTACTCCCATCCCGCAGCTACCATTTCCCCTTGCCTGGATCCTGACTCCACTCCCGCCACCCCACCCCACTCATTTCTTATCCAGCTTGAAGCCAAAGTGATTTCTTTTTTTTGGATCTTAACAAGGCCCACTAAAAACCCTTCAAAGTCTGCCCACCATTTTCACAGGAAACTGCCCACTTCCGTACAACCTGGGCCTCCTACACTCCACCTCCTGTCCTTGGGTCCTGGCTCAGGTCTCTTTCAGATCTCTGCTTCCTATCCCATTCTTCTCTATACCTGTGGCTCCTCCCTCTCACTGGAATGCTCTTTTCCCTCTTTACTTACTTAGTGCGTATTCAATTCTTCAAGCATCAATTCTTTGTGAAATCCTTTCCTGGTCTATCTGCTTAGAGTAAAGCCCCAGTATGGGCTTCTAGGGCAGTAGGCACATTTCTCTGGTAATATTTACCCCAACAGGAATGACAGTTCTCTGTGATTGATTTAATGCTTTCCGTTCTCACTCAGTTGCAAGCTCTCTCATGTATTTGTTTTGCTTACCATGGTGTCCATAGTCGGATCTCGGTACTGATGCATATTTTTAATACACACTTTTTAAAATAGTTTTTTCCACTAAAAAATATTTAGAATTTTTGTCTTTATTGAATTCCATCATACTTACCTTAAAAAGGATAGGCGATTATCTCCTGTAGCTCTGAATCCAGGTCTTTTTTTTTTTCCCCCTTAACTGAGGCTAATTTCAGTTCTTAAGTTGATGTGATCCCCTTTGATAATATAGAAACATTATTGTCATAATGCTCCTTGAAAAATGGGTTAAGTCACTTGGCTTCTGTTTGCTTTCATAATCGATATGACTTCATGCAAAATGATGCAGCAGTTTACATCATTCTGTCAGTCCCTGTAAAGGAAATATTGTTTTCCAAAATTAAAATTGTGAATCAACTCACAGGAGGATGTCGTCAAATAAACAAAGAATCATCGCTTATATTGCACTGCCAAGTTTTTGATAAGCTTAATTCCTCTAAATGCATTTAACTTTAATGAAGAGTAATACAATTTAATAACAACATAAAATGGAATCATTTATCTTCCCAGTCCTGAATATTGGGCAGATGTCTTCTCCTTAATCCATCCTTTCAAATGCAAGCTTTTTTTCCTTCTTGTTCAGATTTGTCTCTTCTCATTTCTGTATATGCGGTTTGGGGAGTGATCTATATGTACATGTTTAATTAAATCACTCATCAGGCTATAGTTTTCATGGTTGGAAATCTCTGGGATGTGTTATTATAAATTCTTGAGGCAATGATATTTATATAACCCAATAAAATTTGGTAATTATTAGTATATTAGTCAAAATTGTTTCAGTTAGAAGTGACATAAAACCAAACTCAAACTGACTTAAGCAGAAAGGGGAATTTATTGGCACACATGACTGCGGAGACCAAAGGTGAATGCTGGTTCCATTCATGCAATTTTTATAGAAAGCTAGGGTTATTATCCCAGGATGTTTTCCATTTGCTCCCTGTAAGAAAGTTGTATTATTGCTGTATGGGCTTTCAAAAATAGAATCAATATTAGAAGAGCCCTTTCAGACATGTTGCCACTAACCGAGAAACATGAAGGTTTCCCCACATGGAGAATGCTCTTCCTCTATAACTTCTTCTCTGGTTAAAAGTGGGTAGAGGTCTCTCCTCATCTCCTGACTTGCTTTCCTCTGTGTTAACTTCATTCTCCGGTAAGGGCTTTACTAACACCTGGCAAGAGAACATGCATGAAGCAACAGGAGGTCATTCATTGATACAGGGTGACCTTCAGATATTTACAAATGAGGAAATGGCCTCCAGCCCAAACTGGGGTTTGGAATCTGCCTGAATATCTGTTAGTATAATCTGCACTCTTTTTTTTTTTTTTTTGGCTTAAGGAGAGAGGAGGGGTTTTGTTAGACGGCCCCTGCAAGAGGGGCAAGGTAGGGAAAACTCACTAGTTTTTGAGCCTCTGTGAAAAGCGGAATTGTAACAGAAGGTGAAATCATTGTTTTTATAAAGGATTTTGTAAACTATGAAGGGAATGCAGCACAGTTTTGGGGCTTTAAGGGCATGATAGCTTTGAAATGCCTCCAGAGAACGTTAGTGCAACAGAGGACAGCATCTCACAGAAAACAGTGATGAGCCCAGAAGCTGTAGTTTCATTCCTGAATACCCTCTGGAGACTTTCAGAGCTACTTGAGTCTCTGGGGCACAGAGGCAGAGTAATGTGGGTTACAATAACAATAGATTTAGCCCCGTGTTTTGTGGAGGGTGTTTCTCATTAGTTTTATATGGGTAGATTCCATGACCCCAAAGGTTTTCTACAGAGAGGGAAACAGTGTGGAAGACATTGTGAGAGAGTAAGCACAGGAGAAGATACAAAGGAATAGGTTATTTTGTGTTGATAAATATTACACTTTGATAATTCATGCAATTTTTATAGAAAGCTAGGGTTATTATCCCAGGATGTTTTCCATTTGCTCCCTGTAAGAAAGCTGTATTATTGCTGTATGGGCTTTCAAAAATAGAATCAATATTAGAAGAGCCCTTTCAGACATGTTGCCACTAACCGAGAAACATGAAGGTTTCCCCACATGGAGAATGCTCTTCCTCTATAACTTCTTCTCTGGTTAAAAGCACTTAAAATGTTTGAGGAGCATATATAATGGGATTGCAGAGGTTTATACATTCAAATCAGCCATGTGATCTGCAAAGTTAACTGTAAATTGTTATCTAGGAAAAAGCCTCCATTACTTTTGTTTGTATAAGCTCACATCCTAAATAAAACTGCCGCCGGCAGAATGCTCATTAAAGTGGATTTAAGATTCCAAATGAAAAGTTATTGATTTCAAAAAGGATAAACACCACTAAGCCTCTAGAATCATCTGAAGTTATTAAATTACCAATTTAGTCACTGTCATTATTTTTTTTTTTACTATCTTGGTTATTAAGCAAACTGTATAAGGTATAATGTTTGAAATGAAACTGGAAGATATCAGCCAATAGTTATTTTCCACACACATTTAGAAATTAATGATCTGCTGAAAAATGGTGATGGGTTTGGTCTCCCTCGCCCCAAATTCCTGGCCCTCATAAAAAATATAGCCTACTTCATGTCTATGGGAAGGCAAGATTAGGATGGGTGTCAGATGATAAATTTTTAGCCACCAGCATCTAGCCAAAAGAGCCTGACTTAGCCCTATCACATTTCCCATGTATATTTATGTACTGTACCATTTGGGTATTATAATAAAAATTTTTATCTGTCCCTGGAGGCAGAATTGAGTTATATATTAAATGGCTATTTTCTTTGTTTTCTGCTTAGGTATGCATGTAATGTGGTAGCATAATATATATTCCACACTTGTTTCATTCCTGCAGAGAGATAATATTTTTGCAGCTGACTGAGTGAAGACATCCTGTGCTTCCAGAATAAGAGAGAACATATTGGCAGGATAAAATGCAGATGTTCCCAGGGTTTCTTCTACCTCATGGTTGTATTCAGCAGAGGTTAACTTTCATGGGCATATTTCCCTGTCCTTGTTTGGGCAGTTGGACACAGAAGTCCACAGTAAATTCAAGGTTGTAAGAGGTAGTTTCAAGGAAAGTATTTCAAAATGCTTTTTTTTTTTTAAAGATTTTATTTATTTATTTGAGAGAGAGAGAATGAGAGAGAACACATGAGAGGGGGGAGGGTCAGAGGGAGAAGCAGACTCCCCACCGAGCAGGGAGCCCGATGCGGGACTCGATCCCGGGACTCCAGGATCATGACCTGAGCCGAAGGCAGTCGCTTAACCAACTGAGCCACCCAGGCGCCCTTTCAAAATGCTTTTAGTGGTGGGAAAGTAACTTAAGATTTCACCCCACCTTTAGTAAAAATGATGGCATCAAGGTAACTTCCCTGCTTCTCTGTAAGGAAAGAACATGTATAGCCATTTTTTCTCTTAAAGAATTTTACTATTCTTAATATAATACAATACAAATGGAAAATTTGTCCTGTCATGGTCTAAGAAAAATAAATTTCTGTGACAAAGATGATATCCTAATCACATGTTTGATCCCTCCCTTTTTCCCATTTCAGAAAGAAACAATCCAGGGAATATAAAAGGAATATGAAAAGATCATTTGAGTATTACCTTTGGGAACTTGTTGCTATATCTATGAAGCTGAAGAGTTTTAACTGGAAATGGAACAGGTAGGAGTGAATAAGGAGCACTGATGGGCCACTATTCACATTTGGCTGTATGTTCTGGAAAAACTAATTCTTCTGTAAGGTTAAGAGAAAAATTTCCAGATAAATTAAGAAATACAGTAGTTCAAATGAGTGGGATCAAATGCGAACATTCAGATCAAATCATCTCTAGTAAAACAGACTTCCCATAGAATAAAGGGAAGAATGTAGGGGTTGGGAAGCTAATTTTCTTAATTAGATTAAAAAGAATTGTATATTATTTTTTTTAAGTGCAAACTTCTACAAAAAAAGTATAAATCGAGAGGCAAGAACAAGTCTTAGGAATAAAAAGAAGAGTAATTAGGGGACATTCTTTCAGAACGCACAGCACAAACTTTAAGATTTGGGAATTCAAGAGAAAAATAAAGAGGCAGAAAATGTTGAAGCAGGAGAATTAATATCATGATTATATGGGTTCCAGAAGGAGAAAGTAGCAGATGAATGAAAAGCAATAATCAAATAAACAAAAGAAGGCAACTTTTCTGAATTGAAACATTCAGCCTTGTACATGGAGCAGGGTTAGCAAAGATTAGATGGGTATAATGAAAAGGAATGGTACCCAGGTGGATTTGGCTGGAAGCAGTTAGCTGGAAGAAAAAAGTCACCAAAGGGGGAAAAAAGTCTGAATGGCATTAGACTCCTTATTTGCAACACTAGTGTTAGAAAAGCTCAGAGAAAATGTATAGCCTTCTGGGAGAAAAAAGCATTATATTCCAAGAATTGTATTCCAAGCCTAGCTATTATCTAAATGCAAAGGCAAATGAAAGCCTGGCTCAGATTTAAAAGAATTCAGAAATTATATGACTCATGTATGCTTTTTGAAAAATACAACTTAAAGTAGACCTTCAAGCAAAAACTAATCAAAATAAAAAATTTAATAAAGACAAAGACATGTTTTAGGAAAAAAGAGCAGTGAGCAAGAAAAACTTAGATATAAATCTAGGGAATTGCTTGTAAAGTGGTTGTGAAACTGTGTACAATTTATAACAAAGGATTTTAAAAAGAAAAATGTATATAATTTTAAAAACCTCCTGGAGATATGGGGTGAAGGGAGAGGTGGAGAAGGAGGGAGTGAAGAGTGATAAAGTTTTTATGTTGAACAAGGAGGGTCAGTATCAGTAACTTCATTCTTGACATTAATGGAGAATAAATTAAAACATGTTTTAAAAAATTAAAACCAGCTTAAAATGAGGCCACTGGAGAAGAAAGAAAAAAGTGGGAAGTATTATTATTCCAAAGGATGGCAAAGTGTGTGTGTGTGTGTGTGTGTGTGTGTGTGTGTGTGTGAAAGACAGAGAGAGAGAGGGCGGGGGGGAGAGAGGGAATGAGAGCATAAGAGCAAGAGATAGAGAAATACCAATTAGGGGGGCGCGTGGGTGGCTCAGTTGTTAAGCGTCTGCCTTCCGGCTCAGGTCATGATCCCGGGGTCCTGGGATCGAGCCCCGCATTGGGCTCCCTGCTCAGCGGGGAGTCTGCTTCTCCCTCTCCCACTCCCCCTGCTTGTGTTCCCTCTCTCGCTGTGTCTCTCTCTGTCAAATAAATAAATAAAAATCTTAAAAAAAAAAAAAAAAGAAATACCAATTAGGTTTCTCTATTACAAGTGGTTTTTTTATTTTTATTTTATTTTTTTAAAGATTTTATTTATTTATTTGACAGAGAGAGACACACTGAGAGAGGGAACACAAGCAGGGGGAGTGGGAGAGGGAGAAGCAGGCTTCCCACCCAGCAGGGAGCCCGATGCAGGGCTCGATCCCAGAACCCTGGGACCATGACCTGAGCTGAAGGCAGACGCTTAATGACTGAGCCACCCAGGTGCCCCACAAGTGTTTTTCTTTTAAAGACTTTTTTATTTATTTGACAGAGAGAGAGAGAGCACAAGCAGGGGGAGCGGCAGGCAGAAAGAGAGGGAGAAGCAGACTCCCCGCTGAGCAGCAAGCCCTACGTGGGGTTTGATTCCAGGACCCTGGAATCATGACCCCAGCCGAAGGCAGCTGCCCAACCGACTGAGTCACGCAGGCGCCCCTCTCTATTACAAGTTTATTTCAAGGCCATGATGGAGGAGCTGCTATTGGATTTACCATTCTATAAAACTGAACCAAACATGTGAGGTGACTACTTTTAGGCATTGGAAAATAGGCAGTGCAGGACTATAGTCTCAGCAAGACAGGAAATAAATGAGGTGAGCACCCTCTCTAACCTGATTTCATGTCTGGGGGCAGTTTCCTGAATGTGGCACAAAGTGGAGCCCAAGTGAAGAACATCAAGTCATGCGGAGCTGAGGCAGACATTGCAACAGAAGGGATGAAAAGGCAGGTGGAATTCACAGTGTGGGGCTACAGAGACAAATGAGCTCTACAGAAGGGAAGTCTCCCAAGTCTGTGTAGAGATTCTTCTTAGCTCTTTGGGTAGGAGCTGTTCTGGGCTTTCCTATATAGGTTAAGATTTTGTAAGACCTCATGATTCTGCAAGACAGCAACCACTGTGGTGCTAAGAAATGAATGGAAATGCCAGAGGTTGGGCAGTGCCAAAATAAATTGAAGTTGTGATCCAACTATGGTAGAAAGACTTTACTGAGCCCACCGGACACTCCATTGAGACCACAGAAAGGCCACTCTTTTGGAGTAAGGAATAAGATCACATCCTAGAATTAAGGTCAAAATCAATGTAGATTTACCCAAACAGAGCATAAAATGAAGTCTGAAAGAGGAAGACAGTGAACGAGTTATGTAGTTGCCGGCCAACTACAAACATTACACCTTCAAATGAGAGACAAGATGATCCAGATGCTCTACAATATATCATCCGTAACAGTCAGCATACAATTAAAAATTACTACATAGGCAAAGAAGTGGGAAAATGGAATTCATAATCAAGGTTAAAAAAATGCAGATAATCAAGGAGTGCCTGGGTGGTTCTGTCAGTTGAGCGTCGGACTCTTGGTCTCGGCTCACATCTTAGCTCAGCGTTGTGAGTTCAAGCCCCACATTGGGTTCCATGCTGGGCATGGAGCCTGCTAAAAAAAAAAGTAAAAAGCAGACAATCGGGCGCCTGGGTGGCTCAGTTGGTTAAGCGACTGCCTTCGGCTCAGGTCATGATCCTGGAGTCCCGGGATTGAGTCCCGCATCCGGCTCCCTGCTCGGCAGGGAGTCTGCTTCTCCCTCTGACCCTCCTCCTTCTCATGCTCTCTGTCTCTCATTCTCTCTGTCTCAAATAAATAAATAAAATCTTTTAAAAAATTAAAAAATTAAAAATTAAAAAAAAAAAGCAGACAATCAAAGGAGATCCTGAGAATGACTCAAATTTTGGAGTTAGAACACATTTTACAAATGGTGATTATAGGGGTGCCTGGCTGGCTCAAACAGTATAGCTTGTGATTCTTGATCTCAGGGTTGTTAAGTTCAAGCCCCATGTTTGGGTGTAAAGATTACTTAAAAATAAAATCTTTAAAAATGATGATTGTAGGGCGCCTGGGTGGCTCAGTTGGTTGAGCGACTGCCTTCGGCTCAGGTCATGATCCTGGAGTCCCGGGATCGAGTCCCGCATCAGGCTCCCTGCTCGGCAGGGAGTCTGCTTCTCCCTCTGACCCTCCCCCCTCTCATGCTCTCTCTCTCTCAAATAAATAAATAAAATCTTGGGGCGCCTGGGTGGCTTAGTCGTTAAGCGTCTGCCTTCGGCTCAGGTCATGATCCTGGAGTTCCTGGATCGAGTCCCGCATTGGGCTCCCTGCTCAGCAGGGAGTCTGCTTCTCCCTCTGACCCTCCCCCCTCTCGTGCTCTCTCTCCCATTCTCTCTCTCTCAAATGAATAAATAAAATGTTTAAAAAAAATGATGATTGTAAACATGTTCAAGGATTTAAGGGAAAAAATGGACGTAATGAACGGGTGGGAAATCTCAAAAGAGAAATACAAGCTGTATAAAAGTATCAATTAAAATACTAGAAATGACAATTTCCCTCAGTGGTTTAAGAGGAGACGGGAACTTCAGAATAAAAAGTACAAGAACCTGAAAATAGATTAATTAGAAAATATCAAAACTGAAAAACAGAATAAATTATATTTTGTTTTTTAAAATGAACAGAGCCTCAGTATCATGTGGAATGGTATCATTTTTCCCACATGTAATTGAAACCTCAGAAGAAAAGGAAAAAAAAGAATGGGTCAAAACTATCTGAAGAAATAATAACCCCAAATATTCAAAACTTGGCAAAAAAAGAATTCTACAGACCCACAGCAGTATATCTTTCAAAGTAATCTTCAAGAATGAAGGTCAAAAAATATTATGAAAGGCATACAACCTGATAGAATCTTCAAGAATGGAGGTAAAAAAAATATTTTGAAAGGAATATAACCTGATAGTAGTCATGACACTAAAAGAAATGCCAAAGAAAGTTCACTGGGCTGAAGATAAAATTTAGAATAATAGGATGAAGGAATGAAGATAATTGGGAATGGTAAATATGTGGGTAAATAAGAATTTTATTTTCTTATCTTTGAATTTCCTTAAAACATAATTCACTGGTTCAAGTAAACATAATAATGCACTGTCATATTTTTACATATGTAATGGTAACACATGACCATAGCATTAAGAATTGCAGGGGGTTAAATGGAATTCTACACTTGGAAGTTTCTTATATTCTACATGAAACATTATAATATATTTTTTAAAGATTTTATTTATTTATTTGCGAGAGAGAGAATGAGAGACAGAGAGCATGAGAGGGAGGAGGGTCAGAGGGAGAAGCAAACTCCCCGCTGAGCAGGGAGCCCGATGTGGGACTCGATCCCAGGACTCCAGGATCATGACCTGAGCCGAAGGCAGTCGCTTAACTGACTGAGCCACCCAGGCGCCCTGAAACATTATAATATTAAATTGAAGTAGACTGTGATAAGCTTAGGATGTATACTGGAATCCCTAGAGCAATCACTAATACACACACACACAACACACACACACACAAGCAA